ATTAGAATTAAGAAAGCTAATATTTATATATTGTAATCATATTTAAAATTAAATATAATCATTATGAATTTCTCATTCTATTATTTGAACTTACAAAATATAACTATTATTTTTATAATACTTATAAATAATATTTTTCATAACTATCTCTTAATAATATTCTCATATTTAATATTATTAAAAAAGAATATCTTAAATATCTTTATATTATCCTATCTAAACTCTATTATTACAAACTATATTCAAGATGGTAGGTTTTATCAGAAATATAATCTATAATAAGTTTTGAGAGCTAAGACTGAATTATTTATAAAGGTAAAGAGAATTACAATTATTCTAAAGATTTTCTAATACCAATACTTATGAGTATTATATCAACATAAGACAAAAATAAAATAAAAGAAAAAGGAGTTATGATAATAGAAACTAAAATAACAAATACTATAACTAAAACTAAAGATTTAGTGCTACCGCTGCATAAAACGTGACAGGTGACATTTGGTGGAACCACACCATTGCATAAAAACTCACCTTGGGAGCATAATTAAAAAATTAGAGATGTGAACAACAAAAAATATTGATGAATTGTTACAATTTATGGTATTTGAGAATAGATTGCTCAAAATAAGATTTACATACTCTTAGCAGAATATTGTGTACTTTTAAATTTTAAATATCAAGCTAAATAAGCAAAATGTTAATTTTAGTTTTATTTTAATATCTTATTTAGCTTGATGTTAGACTGTTTTCGAGCTTAATTTCGCTATTTTGAAGGTTCACTAAACGAGAGTGACTGGTCCCAAGTCTATTAATTCGTTGCAGATTAATACGAAAAATCACCAACAATGGTTTAAGTATCACAAAAATCGTTCCTTTCGGAAATTTCAACAAACTTGTTTGAATGAGAAGTTAATTTTGAGTTTATAGATACGGAACTGTTAAATTTACTACATGTACTGTACATGTTCTAAATTTGTATTTATGTATCGATACATTTTCATATCGATATCGAACATCGTTACGTAAATGATTTATATGAAACGAAACAACAGTGATAATGATTCAATATTTATTTCGTTCATATATAAACAACGTGTATGTATAAAGAAAGATATACATTAAATGAATAAAATAAATAGCAATTAGAGTTATTATGAGTTAACTATAATATACGCGTAAACACAAAGAAATTGAAACACCTTTGGTTCGTTGTAAAATCGGCTAACGTTAATATCTAAATCTGAAGAAAATAATATCAAATGTGATTTACCTTAATTTGGAATATACAAACAACTAACACATGTAGAACCTAAATGTTTGATTTAAAATCAACCTAAATGTCATTTCGATTATAAAAATAAATGTTCTTGATATTATTAATTTCGAAATAAACAATCGATTCTTGTAAAATAAACGTTCGATTCTTGTAAATTAGTTTTGAGTGGATTTGTTGCTTTTTGTTTACGGTATATTCATAGAAATCCTATTATGTTCCGTCTTGTCAAGCCCCATCATCTCTAATTCAAGATACTTTTTGATTTTAAGATAGTTAAGATATATAAAAGCTGAAGTTAAAGAGGTTTAGTATTGAAAAAGCAAAAGTACCCAGTGTATATATGCTTCCACTTCTGATAGACCAAATAAATTCAAAAAGTTTCTCAGCAGTTGGTCTGTTTTCTGGATAAGATCTCAACATTTTTCAATAATAAATTTCTACCATCCGGGAATACTAGGTCTTACTTCTTTATAAATGTTTAATACGAGATAACTTCGCTCATCGGATAGTCGTTTACTTGTTATAATCCCGTACACAACCATCCCAAAGCTATAAATATCTGCAGCTGCAGTGTATGGTTTTCCATTTAGTACTTCTGGACTTTTAAGGAATTTCTCCGCAAATTTCTTGTTAGATTTTTCAATATATGCTGGAATACCGTAATACTAGGAGTAAAACCGCATATTAATAATTTCCAGGGTTAACGATGTACACGCTTTTCACTATAACTTTTTGTTAGATCCTTGATTCCAGGTCGATTTTTGTAGTTGAAATTAATACATCATTTGTATCTGGGTTATAAGGGATTCCATAATAATCACATACCAGTAATATCAACATCGGCAGTGCATTAAGAGCATATGAATCTATTTTTAAAAATTTGATTCATTAAAAAGAATAAGTATCTTGTTTTCACTTTAGAAAGTGTTCATTTTTCTCGTGTACAAGCTCCACAGTAATTTGCTTTGAAACGCGTAATGATTTCAACGCTACTTTACGTTCTCCTGATTGCCTAAATCTATTTTCTTCATGATCCATTCTCTCTATCTGTTGGTCCATCCAACCAAGTTTCTTTTATAGATTGTTGTAGAACTTTCTTTTGCATGATATTTAATGTTGTAAATCTTTCAAAAGATATCTGATTAATCTTTTATTAGGTTGTCGATATCTTTATCTTCGATAGACAGTATTCGATTCCATCTTTTGAGTACATTTATAATGTGTATCTATAACAGGGATGTTTGGTAATAAATTAACTAGAATGTTTAGAATTTTTCTAGCATTGTTTCCAAAGTGAGCCTAACAACAAATTTACATTTAATATATCGATGTACGTTCATTTTTCCGAGTTCACTAACTTTGGCAGTAGTCATGCAATCCAAAACGATGACTGCGCTGCTTTTAATGGTTCATCAAGCTTCTTCCGACAACATTTATATACTCCCATCGGCGCTGTCTATCATTGATCATTCAATTTCGTTAATTTTTTGCCCAAGCAAGTCGAGATGGAGGATAGGCCATTCTCTGAAATACATGCCGAACGTCTCCACAAATAAATTGGCGTCTAATCAGGTTGGAACTTGTGTGAGCTTCGATGGCGGTGGAGCATTTTTAGAACGTTATTAGACAGATAGATTTCATTCGTAAGAATGTTTGACGATCGGGTTTTGGTTTTATCATCAAAACTTCCAGATTCTTCTTTTTGGCATATTCGGTAAACGAAAGCTATGCCCACTTGTTCGATGCTACGACTCCGAAACATTTTGAAAAAAAGTTATAATTTCGATTAAAAGAATGTACTACATTGTACATGTATTATAAGAATGACCGGAACTCTAAAATTGTATAAAAAGCTGTACCTATCGTTATTACATAATATGATGCATTATACATATACATGTGCATGTAGTAAGATATTCTTTAACCAAAAGATATTACATGATATGACATCTGTAATAATTATATTATTTGATAAATAATTCCATTTACCCTCTGGTCACGGATTTTTTTTCTGTGCAAGTCACGATATCACCTTCCGAAATCTTTTCACAATCGACTAAAACTTAATGAATTCTCAAATACACCGCCTAGATATCTTGATGGTTCTCTCACGAAAGATATATATACATATATATATATATATATTCAATCACAGATCCGGATAGAAAACAAACCTATATTATGTTCTTCTGCAATCTTGTAAACAGAATGTTAATATATCAATATATTTATTCAAACGAAAGGATATTAAAAAATATGAGAATTACAGTAGCGGTCAAAAGTAGCTGACCCCTTATAACTTTTTATACTAAAAATTTTTTGGTTTAAACTTTTTAAAATAATTAAAATTACTGTATTAAAATTTATATATTTATATTACATGTAATAACAAAAATTTAATATAATTTAATAGACCAGTTGTTGAAAATTAAATTTTTAAATTTTGGTATTAAATTATTTTCTTATATACATATATAATAAATTTTAATTTTAATTTCTCAATATCTTATTAAAAAAACTCCTATGATCTAGATTTATATTATATTATCTATGTTGAAAATTTCAAATTTCAAGACAATTAATCTTAATTTAAAAAGTTACAGGGGGTCGGATAACTTTTGACCGACCGCTACTGTATCCTTTGAAAGGATAACCAGAGGTGGCTGGATGAAAGACACAATATATAGTGCTTCAAATCATTGGCCTTTTACGGTTATAGAAAATATAGAGCAATTAACCAAAAGTTTAATTGTTTTTTAAAAATCATTAACATCATCAAATTCTTAATTTTATTTAATTTGTAAGTTCTCAAGTCCACTAATGAATTATAGTCAGACAGAGCTATATATTATCAATACCTCTGGAAGACTTCAAATTTTCGAGCACGTTCGCCGAGGAGGAAAACATAAGGTATGTGTTTAACAAGTGAAAGAAGCAATGAATGCGGTAAAGTTAGAAATTATTTCAATCAATATATCTTTTATAATCGCTAAAAAATATATACAGTCATCCCTCCATATAATCATATCCTCAAAAATTGTGATTGTATAGAAGCCAATTTTCTATGCTTTGAAAGAAATTTTTATTTATATAATGAGTGCAATACATATCTTTTAAGATAACATCTTATTATAATAATACCAAATCTTTTCCCCAATCTCATTTATTTTTAATTTTGTGACAAATTTTTTTTTTTAATAAAAATTTGAGCTAAATACAATGTTAATTCACTGATGAATTTTATTGCTCATTTACAATGTTAAATCATCGAGAAGTCGACAATCATGAAAATCCAACATCGACATTTAGTTGACTGCAAATGCCGTGAAATATTTTTCGTCTATGTTCAATCATTTTGTTTGCAAATTAAATGCAAAACTAATAAAAAAACTATAATTACTAAGAAATGTTAGGATAGTACTGATGATATTAATTTTACCTCTGGATCAATATCACGTTCAGTAGTATTCTATACCAACAATTCATTTTAATAAACAAAATATCATTAGCATTCATTGTTTTTAATTCATTAATGAAACTTTTCCTATCTCATAATCTTTGGTAGCTAGCTTTTTATGCTATTACATTTCTTGTCTTACGAATTAAAAAACAATCATGTTTTCGGAACCTTTTTTTGCCATGGTTATGGTATTAATAGCGATACTTTTCGTCATGGCTAGTGTATTAGTATTATCGCCAAGAAAAGGATATTCACAACCGAAGGATGGTCGAAAGAAGAAAGGAAAGTGGATACGATCTAAAATTAGAATACATAGAATATGGGAAGAAATTATCCTACATGACTGCTACCTTATATCCGAATGAAGAACAAGGAGGTAAGACCTGTTACTATTGCAATCCATGCAATAAAATATGTTTTGGCTATCTAGAAAACGCCGGCAAACGGATGGAACCAACTGTATTGTATGTGGTAAACACATGGCAAATAAACATCAATGGTTCAATAGTCGAGATCAGTTTACAGAGTTCCTCTTGACAAGAAGGCTTGTTCTGAATTGCGTGCGCTACACAAAACTGGTATGATCGAAATTTCCCAATAGTTGTTGCGTATCTTTATAAATTTTTAGGAAGGGCAATTTCAGGAAACGCCGGGTGCATCAAAAAGGAATGCCAAAATTCCGAGTGTGGTTATTGATGAGGAGAATGCAAAACGCATTGCTTAGTAGTGAATGCCAAAATTGGATTAAAGAATTTGAAGAGACACACCAGATAGAGTTTATTGGGATGATGACGACGGATTGATGTGGAATCGATGAAGTGTAAAAACACTACGAATTAAAGTTTTCATGTTATGCAAATGATATTGAGAAATTGCTGATTTAGACAACTGTAACTTGATAATAAAATGCTCTGAATGAAATCACGCATGATGTCATTCACGAACCGATACATATTAATATCAAGGTCACAATGGTTCATTTCGGCTTATAAAATTGTGTGCAGTTCGCACAAATAAAGTAATTTAATTTCCTTTTTAGTGAATTTAGTTTGAATTGCACCTTTTTCCATGTGACGCGATCATTTATTCTGTACGTAAAATTAATACATGTACATGTAATATTGCGGCTATCTCATGGTATTGGTTTTGAAAATCCACATCGATAATAAACAATGGTTCGCATCTGTATCAGAGTAAAAACTTATAAATTAGCGTCTAAGGATTTAGGATATTATTCCTTTTGCACAAAAATGACAGAAATTGCATTAAATCTTCATTCTTTTAACCGAAGTAAAAAAAGAGCGCGTACTTCCATATCATTAGTTTCCTCTAAAAAAGCGAAAAATTCGGATTGTCCCAAAGACATTTTAGAACCTTCATTTTTTACTGAAATATACGATACTTCTTTAATAGACAACTTACTGACCCTATTTAATCAAACATTCCAGTCTTCTCGAAATTATGAGATAGAAGTTTTGTATTTAAAGTATTATATCGAACAACAAATACAAAGTATTTCTGAAGAACATTTTTTTCAACAATTGGAAAATGGTAGTCAATATGAAACGCTTTTAGGTTTTTGCTATCATTACGGAATTGGAAAAAAACAAGACTATAATATCGCTTTAAAAATTTACCATAGTCATGCAAAATTTGGAGACGCGATCGCGCAATTCTTAATGGGATTACTGTACCAAGGTGTCTGTAATGATCCAGACAGTGCTTTCCGATGGTATTTAAACTCAGCCGAGTCGGGAAACAAACATGCGCAATATTATCTTGGTTTCTGTTATAAACATGGGAAAGGGACGATTAAAGACGAGAAAAAAGCGGATGAATGGTTCTCCAAATCAGCATACTCGTCATCAAAACGTCCCCAACGAAAAAATGTCGGTTTTATTGCAGGCAATAAATACGATATAAATAAGCGAGCTTTTGAGCATTATTTACGATTAGCAAAAGCCGGAAATGATCAAGCACAATGTAACATTGGCCTGTTTTATCAAAACGGAATAGGGACCATTAAGGATGATAAGAAAGCGTTTCAGTGGTATTTAAAATCAGCCTTGTCTGGAAATTCTAAAGCTCAATGCTTTCTTGGTGATTGTTTTAAGGATGGATTAGGAACAATTAAAGACGAGAAAGCGGCGTTTGAGTGTTATTTAAAGTCAGCTGAACCTAGGAACGTTAATGGTCGTAACAATTTTAGTGTTTTGTATGACAAGAATATTGAAATGAATAGAGTTGAGCAACACGAATTTAATTGCTTTAAGAAATCAGCAAGGCCTGGCAATTCTTCAGCAATGTCGAATCTTGGGGAGTGTTACCAACGTGGAAAATACACGATTAAAGACGAGAGAAGAGCTTTCGAATGTTATGTATTATCAGCTGAATACGGCGATAAAAATGGACAATTTAATTTGGGTTTCTGCTACCAGTATGGTATAGGCGTATTATCCGACCAATGTTTAGCTTTAAAATGGTATGAAATTGCAAAGGAAAGTGGTCATCTCAAAGCTCAAGAGATGATTGAAGATTTTACTTTTTGTTAGTTCTCTTTCTTATCTTTCAATCGTTGACTTTTATAATAATTTTATTACTAAACATCCTATTTAGTCTTAATTTTGAGTTTTATAAATTTTTTAACTAATATTTTCTCAAAAGTTCGATCTAATGCTCTTCAGTTATTTCGTACAGCTTTTTAATAAAGTAATGCTTCTTCTCAATTGATAAATTAATCATACGTTAAAATATTCAGTGTAAAAATAACGATAACAATAACTACTAATACATGCATCTAAATCAGGGGATTTTCGTGCAATCATTCGAGTTCATGTGTTATCGAAATCCTGTCATAAAAGGAAAAACAATAAGAATCAAAGAAACCAATGAAAATTAGATCAAATGCAATTTTACCTTCATATGCAACAAACAAATATGCAACAAACAAATATGCAACAAACAAATATGCAACAAACAAACGGACGCTCGTAAGGCCTTAATCATTCGATATTAATTAATATGAAATATTAATTTGATTGAGGTTTTAATATGATAGAAATTACTCTGTTGGGATTGTCGTAAACTTCCAGCGTCTGTGAACTGCATTTAAGTGGATTTGTTGTTTTTTCTTGACAACAGGTGCATTTTATTACAATCATGAATTTTTAGTCTTTCTTGTGAGTCGCTCGTATTCTCTTTATTTTCTTTTTAAATTTGTTTTGAAGCGTCAGAAAACAATAGTAATTAATTAAATAATAATAATAAAAAAGAACATCCGAAAGTGATTTACCTTCGTTTGTAACGTACAAATTGGCGCTTATCGCTATCGATTTGGCATTGATATCTATGTCACATTCAAACAAGCATTTTTAATATATCATAAATATTAATTTTTTTTAAAAAAAAATAATAATTTTACCTTCGTTTGGAACATATAAACCAACACTTATAGAACCTAAATGTTTGATATATTTAAAATAGATCTGAAATTTTTGGTCGAATCTAAAAATGAATGTTCGTACCTGTATCAGTTGTGATTAATATTAATTTTGAAGTAAAGATTCGACTAGCATAAACTGCATTCGAGTGGACTTGTTTTCTGGGAATGCTTTTATGTAATTTCATCTCTTCGTCAAGTCTTTTTAAGTTCTGTCTCTCTCGTTTAAGACATTCTTTAATTTTTTCTCCTTTTAAAGAACTGTACTGATAGTGCAAATTATTAAATTTCCAATTGCTATCTTTATTATGGTAGATAGATCCGATAAAGTCCTTTAAATCCTTAGCAGTTGGCCTGTTTTCTGGAATAGGATCCCAACATTTTTTAATAATAAATTTGCACCACCTGGGAATATTATTTGATATCGTAGGTCGTATTCCTTTATAGATGTCTAATACGAGATGTATATCATGACTTCGCTCACCGAATGGTCGTTCACCAGTTATAATTTCATACATAACCATGCCAAAGCTATAAATGTCTGCAGCATTAGTGTATGGCTTTCCATTTAACACCTCTGGGCTCATATAAGGAAGTACTCCACAAATTTCTTTGTTAGATTTTGCTATATTTGTTGGAATGCAGAGTCCAAAATCAGCAATTTGAGGAGTGTTCGAAAGCATCAAGATATTTCCTGGATGAAAGTCACGGTGTACAAAATTTTCCACGTGAATTTTTGTTAGACCATCGATAATACAATATAAATATTCTAATTTTTTATTCCAAGTCAATTTTTCGTAGTTTGAATTGATATACTTGCGAAGGTCGCCATCTTTTGCATAAGTCATTACTATTGAATATTCATTCGTAGTAGTTTTAGTTATTCCATAATATCTAATATTACTGCATTTAAGAGCGGTCTGAATCTATTGTCGAAAAACTTGACCGTCAGAAATAAAAAAAAACTAACTTTCATTTTAGAAAATATTTATCATTTACCTCATTTATAAACTCTTGAGTAATTTTCTTTGAATTGTGCAATGATTTCAACACAATCTCAATTTTTCTATCTCGTTCGAATTTATTTTCTTTATGATCCCATTTGCCAATTTCTCCATCCAACCAGGTTGTTTTATAAATTGACGCAAAGCCTCCTCTTGCAAGATATTTAACTTTGGCAAAACTTTCAAAAGGTATCCATTCGAATATCTTGTCTTCTTTATTAATTTTGTTGCATTCTTTTATTAGATTGTCGATATCTTTATCTCCGCTTGACAGCTCATCGTTATAAATTCGTTTGTGATATTTGAAACAGACAGTACAGTCTCTATTTTTTTTACAACACTGACATTTACTACACTCATGAGTGTTAGTATTGTGAAATAAACACTCATCGTAGTTTCTCTGACAATCATTTGATGCCTTTTTTTTCATTTTATATCGAAATAATTGTTGTCGTTATCGTTATCGTTGCGTTTATATGCGGCAACTTATTTAATTTATAATTTAGTTGCGGAACATATAGTTGTATTAAATGCTCGATAATGTACATGTAATTACATTTGGTTCAGTATTTTAAAATGCATTTGTGCTTTAATGTATCGGCTTTAAATACATATAAAAATTTTTATTCTTCTTTTACTTTTTATAAACATAAAGGTATGCTCTGTATGAATAATATAAGCTTATGTGCAAATCCAAAAATCGCAATTACTTTATTATTATTATTATTATTATTATGCATTAAAATCTGATAACATTAATATTAATATTTATATCTGTAGTATTTATTTCTCATTTTTTTAAAATTTAATTAGGGGTTACGTTAGGTTTGATTCTTATTTAATAGGAGCAAGTTATAACGCAACTCAACCCAGAGCAATACTGTTAACGGCTACGTGGATATACGGGTATTTGACTGTGCGGTCTATTACTATGTGGTTAAAGTCAATTGTCTGTGTTGAAATCTACGGATATCGTTTGATATATGCGTTACAAAAGGGAATATTTCGAGGTTTCAATAAAAATTTGGATTCTGGAATTGGGAAAATTATAAAGATTTCGGGATTAGATAAGATGATTTTGGGCGTAAGAATTAGGGGACTACGGTAATGCAACGATATTTATCACTAAATAACTGTTATTTCTAGACAAAAACCTTAAATTCTTGATCAAATTCAAACAACGATTAACCATTACGACGTCTTTTTTATTATAATATGATGCCTTTTCTGAATCAAAGGACCTAACCAACAACAATTATCACGATTTTAAAATGTTATTTTCTTGGAGAAGGTTTGCACGTAAATATCCCTCTGTTTTATTGGAGTTCTATAAATACATTTTAGGATTAAAAGAAATTTCACATAAATTGAAGTCATTATCATGAAAAGATAGAGAAGATAGCGTGACGCAATTCGTATATAAAATCGAGGGTATAGAGGAAAAGATAGAGAAGATAAGAATGACGGAGTTTGCAATATAATCGAAGACAATATGGTAAAGAAAAAGGTAAAAGATAGAATGATCAGATAAGCACCAATTTGGTAAGTTATATTTGTGTTCAGATTTACGTTTACATTTCGGAGTTGATTGTTATCGTTATATTCCGTAATTGGAGTTGTAGATTAACTATATCGATATCTTATTTTCATAATATATTTAACATTATCCGATTATAATTAATAGTTATTATAATTAATAGTTTGATTGTAACATTTTAATTATTTCCAAACTCTTTTGTATTTTTAATATTATAAAACGAGTTTTAGAGACAATTAGCTCTTTTTGTATTGACATTGCCAAAATTTGACAATGCAAAAATTCCGTGAAATGGGGATAGTTGTAGAAAAGATGAGAAAATAAAAGAGTTTCTCGATGCTGGACACAAAAAAATCAAATACAAATAGTAAAAAATAACTTTGTAAACTCATCTTTACTTTTTAATTATTATTCTCTTTGAATATTGTCAAGTAATGGGGGACCTTTACTTTAAATAAGTCATACTTGGATTTGATTGTAATTCTGATTTTGGTTGTTTTATTGTCAGAAACTTGGGCTAACTTTTAACACTGTAAAGAGTGTTCAATAATTGATTATCATTGTATAGTCCAAAGAAATAAGTCCTGTTAATTCGATTTTTAATAGTTTTCGGGTTAGCAGAAATCATCCGAATCTCTTTAAACCTTTATCTTTAGGTTTATTTGTGTTCAGGAGATCTTTAATGTTAATCACACACAATTCTATGATTAAAGCTTAATTTTGAGTGAAAACCAATCTTTAAGTAAAATGTAATAGTATTAGCCTTGTTCTGTGCATGTACATTGCAGTGATAGCGATAGGAAATCTACTAAAATGATTCTTCTTAAGAGCCAAATATCACTACGTGCATTTGAAATTTTAGTGTGATAAATAAATTAAAGCTGGCAAAATTGACTTTGAAAGAACACGGAGCGTCGACACTGTTAGATTTATTGATTGCTGTAGATGCCCTAGTTTCTTTGCACAAACGTGATAATTTGGATTTTCAAAAAATCGATATTTGGGAGGTTTTTGAATGGGAAGTGCTCAAGTTTCCAATGTTACTTTACTTTTCGATATTCGTAGAGAGATGGACACATAACAAATTCACAAACTTAAAATTCAAATTTAAACAATGCTCAATGTTGATTCGTTTCTCCACATAAATTCTGTTGACTTTTACAATAATCTAATGCCCTTTTTCGGAGCTTTTATCGGGCTAGTTATTTTGTTCGAGAAAGTCAAGTTAATAAACAACTTATCACAGATTTCACAATACTTACAGAAAACCAATAAATAAAGAAATGGATAAAGACACGATACTAATATAGAACATTCATTCAAATTAAAGCTATTGTTACGAGGTAGTCAGAATGGACGAATTTTCTTCGATTTTGTGACAATAAAGATCCAACTGTTATTGCGATTTGAGTTAAAAGATACTGAATAAATAATTATTGGTATAATCCATTGAATAGAACTCAAGCAACCAATATTGCCGTAGGCCATATTCAAATGAATCCGAGGGACTTGTACAAGGCAGATGCTTTCAAAGATTTTAGCTAACTTTTGGAGATAAATATGACTAGTCTTATTCCAACCATCTATTGGGATCATTATCGAAATGATTGATGTTTTTTGAGGTATTTCAAATTGTACAAAAACCCCTCGTTATTTTTTTAAATTTATAAGAATACAGTAGACATAAGCTATAATTGAATAACTTGTAAGAATATTATTAAAGTTTTATACTATTAAAATGTTCTATAAATATTCTCGGTTTAAGAATTTAAGAGATTATGAAAAACATTTAATAATGTGCAATTATATCCGACATCTAATTAAAAAATAATCAAATTTGAGAGTTTATAAAGAAAAGATATTATTAAAATATGAAAAAGGGTGATAAAATTTATATAAATTGGGGTTTTAAATGATAATTTTTTCGTTATTTCGAATATAAAAAATTTCTGTTTTGACTGTTATTATCAGAAAAAAATCAAAAGATACAACCATTTCAGGGAGCTCGATCATGTTCATGTTCTTTAGCCTTTTGATACCATTTTACGAGATTTGTTGAGATACTTATTCTATGATGATAAAATTTTCCTGAGTTTTATTATGTCCAGATTCAGCAGCTCTTAAATAACATTCAAAAGTTTTATAATCATTTTTATCTGTTCCTTCTCCATATTCATAATATTGTCCAAGTCGAAAATATAAAAAAGAATTATTATCATTACCAATACTTGCTATTTTTAAAAGATAGTAATTGCACTATTTTCTTATTTTTCTCAGATTTTTCATAGCTAAACCTCAGAAAGCATCGGGCTATATTAAACTCAGAATTTGCAGATTTTAACAAGAATTCATATGCTTTTTGTTCATCTTTGATTGTTCGTTTTCCAAAAAACAAGATAACATTGCATTCGAGGAATCCCTGACTCACTGTTTTCAAGTACCATTCGAATGCTTTTTGCTCATCTTTGATTGTGTATTTTCTATCTTTGTAATCGACAGCAAGATTATATTGCGCTTGAGGAATTCCTGACTCTACTGTTTTCAAGCACCATTCGAATGTTTTTCGTTCATCTTTAATTGATCCTTCTCTATTTATATAATAGAGAGCAAGATATATTGTGCTTTAAAATGTCCGGAACCTGCTGCTTTCAATTACCATTCAAATGCTTTTTGTTCATCTTTAATTGTTCCTTTTCCATTTTCATAACTGAAAGCAAGATTATATTGCGTTTCTGGGAATCCTAACTCCGCTGCTTTCAAGAAGCATTTAAATACGTTTTGTTCATCTTTAGTTGCTCTTTTTCCCATCTTCATAAAGGAGAGCAAGATTTATATTGCGCCTCAGGAGATCCTGATTTTGCTGCACTCAAATACTATTCGAATGTTTTTTGTTCAGCTTTATTATCCTCTTTCTTTACGCTATCTTTGGTCATCGATAACGATAGATGCTGTGATTTTTCTTCGTATTCAATTTGTTGCTTCCTCTTGTTTTTTTCCAAAACTCTTATGACCTAAAAGTTCGTTTTCTTTCTCGTTGTTTGACAAATAAGCATTGTCGTTTGTTATTGAAAGCATGTCCATTTTTCTGTTTCTTTGATCAATGGTTTTATGGTACGTATATACGTTTCACCAGCTCTAATAAACCATATGCGACACATTTGAATCAAGGCAAGAAATGAAAAAGTTGATAAATGAATGTTGAGGAACATTTTTCGTCGTAACTGTCATACATTTCCACACAATTCAGCTTATCTAAATGTGTGACGGGTGGTGGCGCAGCCCGAGAAATTCTACGTTTAGAGAGGTTGGTTATAATTAGGGTTACGAACAAAGATCACATGTAATATTGTCTCACCATATTTCTTTATAAACAAGAAAATACAAATTATCGTATTTTCTCGAAATAACGACCATAGATGTTATTTCGAAATTACAATAGGATCCTATGCAAAGTTGCGATGAGTATCGGTATTATCTTAGAACATAATTTGTGTGAGATTTCCGCACATTTTTCATCAAAACTTTTTCAGTGATATTAGTTTATTTAATCTTTGCGATAGTAAATTATAGGATAGCTAGCGTTAGAATGTATAAAAAGACCCATCATTAATGTAACGGATGGGTAGCGAAAAAAGTAATAACGAAAAATAAAAAAAAACTGTCCAAAAATTCCAAAAGTAATTCTTCCTCAAACAATAAAATACTTTACATTCTTCGTAAAACGGTGTAATCATTACAATTGTAATTGTAATCCCGTCGTATTGGTTAGGTTCTTTGCGCCAGAAAAGACAACGTATTAATTAGGCTCTTTGTGCCAGAACAGACATCGTGTTGGTTAGGTCCTTGATCCAGAAAAGGCATCAATTTATTGATAGATTAGTTTAAGGCTTGTTGCCCAGATAACTTATCAATTAGAATAATCCCGAAATTCGTCGAATTTTCACACCCAAAAATATTCCCTCGCTTTCCCCTTAAACGATATCGGCACATGACTTATAATTAGTTTAATTATTCTCTCCAAATTTAAGTCGCAAATCAAAGATCTGTTAATACGCCTACCATTCATTAACTGTGACAGACCCCTTAAAAATAGCATCATGGTTTCAAAATAATGTCCATAGTCCGAAATAATGCGCACCCATATAACATTTATAAACTTGATAATGTATTTTTTTTAATATAAGTTCCGAACAGTCTCGAACTCTTTTTTTTGGCCATTCTTCCAGTCGATTTTGTAAGTAGCTGATATGAAATTACCAAATGCGATAGTATAACTTCGTTTTGTGCTCATGTTCACTTGTAAATAAATTAAAAAACTTGCACGCGAAACAAACACAAAAGAACGATCACATTTTATATTATCGGTGTTCGTCGTGTAATACAAGAAAAAACTAAAAAAATAAAGGAAAATGTAAAACAAAACAACATAAATACGAGTGAAAAAAAAGCCCGTACTTTCGAAAAAGTAGTGCATTTATATTTTTTACCATTAATATCCATTAAATGTATAACATACATGGGCGTTATCTCGAGAATCAGGTTTAGCAGAAAATTGCCCCCTTAACACGCGGGTACTCAAAATAACGTGCAGCGGCAACAATATTATAAATTTTCTTAAGCGTGATATAGAAATTCCGAACGAATGAATGGCACGATATCGAAATTTTTGATTTCGTACATTCGGGATACCGTTCTTTCGGGGTTTCGCGCATTTAGGATGTCGTTCGTTCGAGATTTCGATCATTTGAGATGCTGTTAATTCGAGATTTCGTTAATCGGGGCTTATACTGTAAATTGTCAGGTTTCGCACCGAATCCATTTCGGGTTGGATAACCACAGGTTTGGGATTGACATTGATATCAAATACAGTGCAGTCTGGTGTTTTACCATATATAGAATTGTCTTTTATAGCAATGATCAATAGTGTGTAACAATTCTAGATTTTGTGTTGCTTTTCCATAAATTTAAATTCTGATTGGTCAAAAAATTTCAAATGCTAATTGGTTAAAATGCTAAACGCTAATTGGTTAAAAATGATTGGCTAAGAGCCAGCAAGTCATGATATTGATTTTTCGCTTAAAGCCAAAGTCATTCTTCCTCTTTCAAAATACTAATTGAGTCAAAGTTACTATATTAATTTTCCACTTCTACTTCTTCTTCTACTTCTCTTGCTTCTCCTGCCTCTCCTACTTCTCCTTCCTCTTTTTCAAATTCATTTTGCAAGTCTCTGATATTTTGTAAAATTTCTCGCAATTGATTGCGAGTTTTTTGTTGCAATTCACGATACTTTGGATAGTTAGAATTATTCATAAAATTTAATAAAGAATTGATAATTGTCAAAAGCTCGTCTTTAGTCATATTTTCTTCATTTGTGATCGCATCAGCCTCTTGAGCAGTTATAGATATTGGCCGAGATAAAGAATTTTTGCTATTTGCAAAAAACTCTTTAATTAATACAATTCATCATTCACATGCTAACTTACTAAAATTTTTCAATTGCTCACTAAAATGCTCACCACTCAGACTTTTAAATATACGAGTATTATCTTTAGGATTTAAAAACTCAGTTTTTCGTAATTGAACTTGGAATTATTGTGATTTTAAGATAAAGTCTGGATGCATATGACCTTCTGATGATTCATTATCAATATATCCAATAGTATTAAATAATGTATGACGCAACTAATTTATTATTATAAGAAGTTTAAATTAGAAAAACTTAATATAAAATTACTATATACAAGTAAGTATATATTTAAAAATTTTCAATAGTCATTTATCTAAAATGTCAAACTAATCTTTATAAATTTTGTACAGTTTCGTGCTGCTATTTTCTAATATCATTGGGAAGGTGTAGGTAAGATTAAAGCTTTCAAAACTTTGTTGACCTTTTCAAGAATTGCGTCAAGACCTTGATATTGATTATGGTAATCCGATCGTGAAAGAACAAAATATGATTTTATGTATTGCCTAATTTCAAGATATAATCGTAACAATTGACTTTCATCTGCTATCTCAATAATATGATATATAGGATGTCTATGGCCAGACCAAATTGGAGTAAATATGTGCTGAGCAGCACTTCTCAATGATGGTCTGTTATTTCTAACTTCCATGCAAAAATTAATAATTGCCTGAAGATAGATAAATGTCTATAATAATAATTTATTAGTTACAAAGTTTTAAATATATTTGATATTTCTATTTAAAAAAATTACCTGTTCAAATTTTAACATATAAATATAATCATTTTACTCTTTTGCCCAATGAAGATAATCATCAACTGAAGGATTTTTAGTCTCAATTACATATGGCCATAATAACTTGTGAGTAATAGCATCTTGGTAAATATTGCAAATAGAGTCCTATGATTTGTGATGATTAACATATTTTTTAAAAAATCCAAGCTGATTTTCTGTTCTATATCCTTGGCAAATAGCAAATTGTTGAATATCAATGGTCCTATAAAAGCATTAGTAAAATTAAATTAAATATTATTGAATAAAAAGGTATATAAATAAAAATAGTACCAGTTCATTTCTACGAATGCTTTTAACATGTTCATTTCTTTATGCAGGACTCCAGGAACTAATATG